ACGCACAATGCATCAGCTAGCTAACGATGAAGGAATAAAGTATCCCTAAGCGGTGGATGTGATAAAATATGAGATGTACGTAGACGATATTTTATCGGGGGGAGAATCTATTGAAAGGGCGCAGGAACTTCAACGCCAAATAATAGCCATGCTACATAGCGGTACATTTCAACTTCGCAAATGGGCGGCCAACAATCCGAAGCTGCTCGAAAACATTCCAACAGAACACAAGGCAACACATGGTGTGTTGCACCTCAACGCAAAGGAAACCATAAAAACTTTGGGCCTATCATGGAACCCAGCGACTGACAATTTCGAATTCAATCTAAATTTTAAACTTCCAAGTGGTGGCGCCACAAAACGGAGCATTTTGTCAACTACAGCGCGTTTATTCGATCCGCTCGGCTGGGTTAATCCGGTAATAGTTACAGGGGAAATCATCATGCAACAATTATGGTCATTGAAACTTGGCTGGGATACACCAGTGCCAGGCGATATACAAACTCCTTGGAAGCGGTTTATAGAGGAGCTACCTAATATCTCCCAAATACGTCTTCCACGCTGGTTGGATACTGGTGCCACTAATCCGGCTAAAGAGCTACACGTATTCTGCGACGCGTCTACACTTGCATATTCAGCAACAGCCTATCTACGAGCGCGCGATGATGGCGGAAAATGGTGCACCAGTCTACTACTGGCGAAGTGCAAGGTTGCCCCCATTAAACCGAAAATTACTATCCCACGAGCGGAGTTATGTGGAGCGCTTCTTGCAGCAAGGCTTGTTCAGTTTTTGCAGAGACACCTGCGCCTTCCTATCGATAATTCACGCATACATTTTTGGACGGATTCAATGATTGTTTTGGGATGGATTCGTGGAGATCCCAATCGTTGGAAAATTTTCGTATCTAATCGTATCAATAAAATTTTGGAAGTTTCGGAGGAAGGTCAGTGGCGATACGTTGCATCAGAGGATAATCCGGCTGATTGTTCTAGTCGAGGACTAAGTTCACTGAAACTAGCGCGATATCAGTTATGGTGGCGCGGACCATCTTGGCTGAGCTTACCAGCAAGTGAATGGCCAAATCACAATATTACTGAAAACGTTACTGTTAAATCTGAGGAATGTCAAGCGAAGTAAATCAAAGTCAATTTCAGTAGTACTGAGAAAGATCACATCCACCAC